GGTGTCATTACTAAATAATATTTAATTTGCATATAACGAAAAGCCAATCGAAATGTATCTTTATCTCCATTAGTTACATGCTATAATAGTAAACCAAATACAATATGCTATTCCTCTGCACATACTAATAATAAATAATAGAATACTTTATAGAAAATTTGATAATGATCATTCATTAGTTTTGCCAGATAAAGTCCATTCCATACTCGTCTTTTATCAACTAATATCACTGAACTATCAAATTCATATTCATGTTCAGCACAACTTGTATTAAATATAGTCCAAACAATTGGATGTTGTCTACTTTTGAAACCGTCAGGATAAAAAAGTGCACCGAACTTAAGATACATTGGATCAGAAAGAAATAATTCTTCTGGATCTCGCGCAACATATGCATCACAATCGAGAAATAGTACTTCAGAAAATGTAGCACTAATAATAGCTGCTGGTTTATATGGGAAAAATCGAAATCGAAGATAACTTGAAGGAGGTTTATAGATATGAACAGCGTTTAACTGCCAGATTTGTGTCAGTGTTCGACATTGAGCCGTAATGAAACAGCAGACACTTGCATTAAGGTTAGGTGCAGTACGAAGTAATTCCATCATAGTTTCATGTGAAACTTGTAAATATGAATACCATATCTAGGAGAAAAGAGAGTGATAACTGTGATATTTTAGTTATTAATTTGAGATAAAGAATACATTCTATCGCTCAATAAAAAGTCCAATTAATTCGTCAATTATATATAAAACTTTAACAAGATGTAAGAACGAACTGAGTCTCATTTTTCGTAAATGATTTCTTGTCGATAGAGAAATATAGATTAATGAAAATTACCTGAACAGGCAATGATGTACCCGTAAGCTCAAGCATTCTTAAATTGACTTTTGCAAACTTTAACTGTACCAAACCAGTAGTAAGAACGATTCCTCGACCATGAAAATATTCATGAGGATAAGGTATTATTTGTGTTCTTAGTGTAATAAGTTGATAAGATATTTTACGAAAGGCTAATTTTTGATCTGCACTTAAAGAATATGTTGTTTTACATTGTTCAAGTGATTTGTTTTTCACATAGGAATCATTTGCTGAAAGTTGACTAATTGATTCATCGCCAAATGTAGACTTGAGAGAACCTGAGTTTGTTACATTAATAACAAGAGAAAAGAAAGACTTGTTTTTTGAATTTCTGCTTATAAATATGACAGTAATAAGCAACGATATGAGATTTAGATAACAAACGATTTTCATAGAATTTAAACGTCGCATTATTTGTTCGAATTGAATTTAACTATAAATCCATATGAAAATAGAAATTAAAAAGTTTTACTATTCATCAAGATAACATAACTATCAACGAACTAAAGAATTAATATTAATATAAAATCCAATACTTGCAATCAATGTATGATTTTGATTGAATAATATAATTATCATAATCTAGTCAATAAATTTTATTTCAATCATATGAATTTCCAAATTAATATTCAATCAATACTTGCTTTTGAATCAAATAGTAATTTAATTATTTAAAGAGCTGTACCTCCTTTTGAATATTTTGCTTACCTTAGAAAAAAATCTTTGTAGACTATGAACGTAAGAATATAAGAAAAAATGTTATCACAATAATGTTCGATCATTATCACAGATTCTTTGTGTCTTGTTGAAAATACAACTTATCTCATTTTCTACATACTAAATAATAAATAATCGATTTCGAATGAAAATCTTCAAAAGAAACGAAACGAAATGTTTCATTAAAACTACTTCTTACAATTTTTTTGTGATTAGAATAAATATTAAAATATTGTAAAAACGTTTTCTATTATCAAAGTCACCACTAATAAACAAACATAGGTAAGATATGAATAAAAAAAAGAAAGTCAGTATACTTTTAATGTAATCATATCTCTTATCAAACATTTTTTTAGAATTTCTTTAGAGGAAGAATAAATCAATTTTCAAGCATATGAGGTCATTTTTTTTTGATTCTACAAGGATCCTTCAAATGATGAGATTTTATATTTGTTGAGAATATAGAAATATTTTAGACGTGAGAAACAACAAAGAATTTTTTTGTACATTATGCACGGTTTGAAATGACCTTATATGTGGTCGTTTATCGTTATGAAGAGATTAGAAGTCTCATTTAGTTGACTCAGACCGATGCAATACTATGAGAGATGTTCATGGACCGAATCTTGAGTAAAAATACAAAGTGTTCAAAAGATGTTGCATATTTCCAATAAATTTTGTTTTCGAAAATCATATGCAATTTTTCTATTGAGTGAAACATTTCTGCAATGAACTGGAAATGTATAAAGCAAAACAAAGATAAAACTAAAATTGTCGTCACCTTAAAAAAAAAACTTTCTTTATATTTAAGAAAATGTCATTACCTAGCTATCTTCATTCAGCATCAATTACTTTTTCCGCATAATTATTTAGCTACTACTTACTGCTGCATCTTTTCAATCATAAAGTTTTATTAGCGCTTTTTCTTGAACTCTTGCTACTGGTTCATCATCATATATAAAACAGTATACGTTCAAATTGATCAAAACTCTTTCGAGACAACAACAGACATCAACATATCCTATTATTAAAGATAGAAAAGCAAAACACAATTTTATATTGGAAAGTTTGTGATTTCACCACTAAATAATTCTGGAGGTACCAGTGAATTCGAGACCATCGAAGGTTTTGCGAATTGTCAAGTATATAACCGAATATTTGTTTATACATCAGCTACTGGTACTCCAAATGTGCTTTCTCATTCATGTATTAAAAATTTACCCAATGCAATTAGATGAGTGACACATCAGTGGTCCAGATTAAAGGTCGATTATCCATGGGTCGAATTTCTTCGGTCCCGACCATTGAGACCTCTGTTGATATAGATCATAAATTCAAACTTTACAATTTTTATAATTATTTCCAGTAATTCAATGTTTGTTGTTACTTTTTGTCAAGCCTACTTTTTTCAACATATGAATAATAATAACAACTACTAGTTTGATAAGACATGCATTATTGAGATTTTCAATGATGTAATTAAAAGAGATAGACTCAAGAAACATTCTATATAACCATAGATTCATCAAGCTGATGGAAAGTTTCTTTTACTGAACGATATCTTCATATTATTTAAAATTCAGATTGAAGCAAATGATTTAGTTCAATCATTTATTTTTGTATGACATTTATTTTATTGAGTAATGTACCATTACTGATAATTGACTAATTATTTAAGATAAGTTGTTGAATTCGGAGAAAATTTTCAGGATAATTAGGTATAAAATTATTGTTTTACTCATCAAGACTCGACTGGTTTTTGATTTCTCAGATACTATTGATTCATTCGACATATAAGCATGATCTTCAATCTCTTCCAATGAAATACTATCGTTATAACAATCATCATATATCATTTTTTTCATAATATTGTTTAATGATATGAAAAAAACTTGTCGGTCCATTATGCAATTGACAGTGCTAAAAGAAATATGAATTATTATTCAGATCATCAAAACAATATGAATATAATCTAAAGTCATTGATGAATATTTGATATTTTGATATTTGAATAAATAAATTTGACTATGACGAATAAAAAGAGTAGAATGAAGAAAAGAAATAGAAATGATCAATGAATATATAGATTTATAAAGAGATATTCATGTCTTTTTTCGTTCGAATTTTGGCAACATCTTGTATTATATTTATTTATTGAATAGTATCAAATGATGATTAATATCTGATCAAATAATTGTCGAAAAATAAAATCTTGTAAACTAACTTTTATAATGATTATTACATGTCCGAAGACTTTTTTTTACTTATCCTAGTGCTTTATATATGTATTGTAGGAAAAATAAATATACGATGTAATTGAAGTTTTCTTTGACATTCTTTTAATAAAAATAACTAATTGATCTTCATTTTGATGAAATGTATATGATGGATATTTATTTGTCACAATTGTCTTCTACTAACATATGATATTATCAATGAGATTATAATTGATACACATACAACAAACTGTAAAGCCATGAAGGATAACATATACTTCTTATCAATCAATGTTAGTTGAAGGTTATGAAAGCAAGCTTTTCTAGTTGTTCTTAATTTTTAGTCGATGCATGAAAATGTGTGCAGTGATAATGAACACATTGATGATCTAAATAGTACCGAATTCAAATAAAGATTTTGCTTGATTTAATGAAAGCTTATTCACTAAATGAAACATATTTATGAAAATCAATTGCAACTAATATTTATTGCATAAGGAAAATTCAATATATTATTTATTTCATTTCAACAAGGTGATCTGCATTTAGCAAAATACGAACTAAATCAATATAATTAACACATATATGATTCTTATCTGACAGTCTCAATAAAAGAACAATAAAGCTTGATGATAGAATAAAAGAGAGCATTAAATATCGTTTTCGAGTCAAATGATTACGCTTTATCATCAACAGAAATTGTTACAGAATAGAAAAGTAACAATATAAATATTTTATAATTAATCTAAATATAAATATTGACAAAAAGCACTAATACTTCATAATAAAATTAATTCAATCATTTATCAACGTTTGTTTTTCGCTTTATTTCTTTGCAAAGCAAAAAGGCCAAGAAAAGGAATAATAAAAAAAATTCATAAGGACGGCGGAGTAAGCAAAGGTATAATAATAACAACAGAGGAAAAGATTTGACAAGAAAAAAATGAATGACTGTTTCTTTATTATTTCTTTTACAAAAAAACACATACATTTCTTTTATATACAGATGTACCTATTATTGGCTTTTGTTTTAAATAGAATATTGCACTTGCAATTAAAAAAAATAAATAAACATCATGACATCAAAAATAACACCGTTTGTTTCACTAGTTATAGAAATATAAAAATGTGAATAGAAGTGAAAAGACACTGTTTTGCTTTTTGTTATAATAAAATACAATTTTTGACTAAAAATTTCATTAATTATTAACTAAAACCAGGTGGTGGCAAACCAACATCAACAATAATGTGTGTAAATAATGGATAGGCAGTAACGGAACTTAAATTATATCGAGCTGATGATACACCATCCCATGCATAACGTTTCGCTGCTGAGTAAAGTAGTTTAGCTCTAAAAAAAAGAAAAACCAATGTCGAATTCAAACTTTTTTTTTCATCAATAAACTGAAACAAAGTGATGATGTTTCTTTCTTTTTAAAATTACTGATCTAAAGTTTTAAAAATAAATCGAAATAGATAGAGATCATCTGAGTAGTACTGAATCAGGTGTAATAGTCAATGTATCGAAACTAAAGAATTATCAATAAAGCTTCCTATATTCTTAGTTTCATCGGTCTTCGACATATTTATAATCTCTGTACATTAGCGAACAAAAAGTTCTTATTTTGCAGATACTTTTTATTTGAATCAGTCTGTCAAGTCTATACAATAATTAGATGAGAGAAAGTAGAAGAACTTGCAATAAAGATCTCAAGATCTTCTTGAAATATGAAATTAATTGCTGTCGGTCATTTTGTAGTATTGGCGCATGCCTCTTGCTAAGCACCCTGGTTTCATCCATTTTTGACTATATAAACATAGGCAAGTATGGATCATAGAATTTGATCAAACTTAAATAATTTCTAAAAACTAGTAATCATGGAAATTCATACGAAGTAGGACAGTCAATCCGATCAATTCTTTTGTTTTTTATATCGAACATGTGTCAGATTTCGAGATAGAAATCCAAATAATATCCTTATGTATTTGATTCTCACAATAAAATATTACAGCCATGAATCAAGCAACTCATTCACACTTCGAAATCTAGGACAATGTCATATGAAGGTTAAAATTTATTTTGAAGACTATATGCTAATATTGTTGTCAGGACATTATCTTTTGTTTATATATTACCATTTCTACTGATGTTATTCCATATAAATATTCATTTCACGCAAATGACATCAACTGTGAACAGTTTTCTCTTTCTCTGAAATTGTATAGATGACATTTGAATAATCTTTTTCTAATAGCAAAATCATAGCTTATCAATAATGCAATGCTAATTTTAATAGTACGAAAAACTTTCGAAGAAATACATACCGTTTATTCCATACAGATGGTGTACGTTTTGTATGTTGAAGCATTCTATATCGAGCTATAGATGATGGTGGACGAAGTACTTTCAAAGAAGCGTCTTTTAATCTAAAAGTATTAGCTTTTATAAAAATATTTTATTCATTATGAATTTCTTTACCGATAATATAAATCATCATCTTCAGCTCCCCAACCCCAATAAAGATTACTATAACCATTAACTGTTAGAAAATGTTCCTTACGTATATTTAAAACACCACCAATAAGTTCTTCATAAGTCAATCTAATATAAAATATTACTAGTTAAAGAATAATTAATTGTCAATAATTATTTCTTACTTATAATTCATTTCATTAACAGCCGCAGACATATGTCTTGGAAAAACTGGACATGAATACATATTTCTATCATCTTCTGGTATTAAATCAACATCATGAAAGACAAAACATTGAAAATCATATTCACCCGATGCATATATGAAAGCAGCATTCATTAAAACACCTTTATTATATGTTCCATTTCCTCTTTGTTCAGATACATAAATTTTATAATCAAGTTCTTGTCTTTGTAATATTGGATGTAAATAATAAAGTAATATGACTAAATGTTCAAGACGATCTCGATACGGAATGATGATTGCAACCTACAATTAATTATAAAATTGAATTTTAGATCTTTCTTTTAGTATAAAATCAAAATGAAAAATATCTCTTCATTTAAAATGACAGTGATTGTTAAAAGTCTCACTATTTGGTAAAAAGTATCTAATCTTTAATCATTTAGTTTTACAGCTAGACTAGAAATAGAGCACATTGAACTCTGACAAGCAAGAACTAATGACAACTGTATCAGCCTTCATACGAGAGAGCTAGAAGGTCAACATAGGCTTTTTCTTCAAATGATGATAGCTCAACATGGAAAATAAATCTTATGATGTGAGACTCTTCATTTGACAGCTCAATGCTGCTTCTATCACACATGAAAACTCCATATCAAGAGGCTTTAGGTTGCCTGATTTATGAAGTATTCTTTATGTTATGCCCACATGGTAGCTAATGAAAATGATCAAAAAGTAATCCATATCTTTGGCTAATTTTAAACATATGCTTCGCAATTTTCTTCAATGAGTACCCTACTCTAATCAAGTATTCGTTCCAAATTTTACAATAATGGTTATCGATAGAGAAGGGATCCATCGTGAGATTGTTCCAGACAATGGAAGCTTTCCTATGCCTCAAGATTACAGTGCATTGAGTTATTCCATCGATGGTACAATATATAGAAAAGCAAACCGTTATTGATTAATAAGAAAATGGAAGTTAACACATGTATATAATGAAAAAACCAGAAAAGTATCAAAGAAAGTCTTTGTTGGATCCTAGGGAAAAAATCATTGTTTTCATCGTAAATCCCTTTTCATTAAGGTCTATCGACTTCGGATTACTATTTCCGGACAGAGTTTATCAAGCTTTAGTTATAGGCAAACGAAGTGAAGTTTATATACTTTCTACTCGTTAGCGAGACTACTTGTGACTATTGTACATAAATATTCTTTAGTGTTAAACAAAACATAGCATTATATATATCACCTTATGACGAGCAAGACAACTCGATGGTGACCATTGACCACCGGATCTGATATTTGAATAATTCATTTCAATTTCATATAAAGAGATATTAGGATATGTTGAATTTTCATCAAAAATTCGACCTTCTACAGGAAGAAAAACAAAACTATTGAATAATATTTTTAATTTGATGCAAACATACTTAATTGACTAGGGTGTTTATTACAATAGTTTTTTCTTTCATGATTATCTATATAATTATATCTTAGTTTTTTTCGTTTCCATCGAAATGCATAGTCACTATTTTCATCAATAAGTTCTTCAAGCCCATTTTGTATATGCTTAATATTACTTATTAAATAAGAATCATTATTTTCTTGTTTAAAAATTTCATCTGATTGATTTAAATATTTTTTAATATGAAAGTAAATTTTTGTTTGATTTAAATTTTCATTTGTTGAATTATTTTGATCATTAAATAAATTAAAAAAATATTCAAAACGATAAAGATATGTTTGAATATGAAATAAAAGACGCCATTTATTTATTGGTAAAACATTTTTATGTAAAATTGTTTCCATACTTTCATCCATTTGTTTGAGTTCTTCTTGAGTTTTTTGCATTGTAGAAAAATTAGTTCCATAACGTGATGTATGAACAACAAGAATTTGTGATAAAATAATTATAATCAAAAAAAGAAAAAATACTAATACAAGAATTGGTGGAATGTCACGACGAAGTAAATTCGATGATATTGGTTCATGACTATAACGATATAATTGATATGAAGAACGAGCTGTTTGTTGTCGTTGTTGTTCACGTACATTATCAAGATTCTGTAATGCGTTTGTAAATAACCTATAATCAGTGAACATGTGTAAAATTTTTCCAAAGTTTTATCTACATTATGAGATATTGTAACCATATAATAAAAGTAATAAACAAAATAATTTTATTGTCAATGATCTAAAACGTAATAAATGTAATATTTCGTTATAGTTTCATCAGTGTTAATATTACACAGGGACGTGTAAACAGTTTCTTTTTTTTTTATCTCTATTCTCTTGGTTACTTTTATCGTTCTCTCTTCTGCACGTACGAAGATAACTATTTCGATGATATTTTTCTCTCAGCATCTATTCTGTGTCATCTTACCCAATAAGCTGCTGAGTCTTACTAAACTTTACAAAAAGCACGAACGAAAAATAAATGGTATATAACATTGTTATCATAGTATTTTTCATAGTGATGTACTGCTTTTATTCTTTCTCATTCTTTTATTCTTTTCATTTCGTGCCCTTTGGCTTCAGGCCTTTTCTTTCAGGAAACAGTCGTTTCCAGGCATTGTTTTTTTTTTTTGATGATGACAAAATGAGAGAAAAAGAGATGCGAGATGACAAGAAAGAAAGTTGACTTTTTTTTCATGAGCGGAAAGCATAATTGAGCGTCTGCATCTATAAGCTCCCGCCTGCAACATACAAAAATGTCAATACTGCGGCAATAATATTAAGCTCAGAGATAGATCGATAGATAAATATCGATTAAGACATCAGAAAACAGAAGTAATTTTTATTATGCACATGCAATGATTTTATTAAGCAAATAAAACTAAGGAGAAATGAATACCGAAATTGGTTTTATTAAGAAAAACTCTACTACAGACTTTTTAATAGAAATAAGTTGGATGAAGACAAAAAACAAAAAAAAAGAAAAGGAATTCTACTGAATCTGTTATCGCTAAGGAATAATACAATAACATGTAAACCGTTGAAATAATTAATATAAGATAAGAACATCTCATTATTATATGTAATTATTTTTGTTTCTTTTTGACTGAATAACTTTGTGTTGCATAACCTGTGGCTGGTACACTTGGATTTCCATAGATACTTGTTGAAATACGATTAATATAATAAAGTGCAATTAATGAAAAGATCAAACTAAAATAAATAAATTTTCAATTAAAAACAAAAGCTATTATCTTTTTTTTTTGTTTTGTATTTTAACATGAAATAAGAAATACTACTGTGTAATTTTACTCATATTGTTTACTGTCTTCTCATGAGAATCATTATGGATTATCAAGCGTTCAGCATGTTAAAAGTATATCGACTCTGCAAATAGATTAAATCATCTATTGTTTCAGTTAAGTGTTTTTTATTTCATACTTAAAGAACTCAATATTGCTTTAAGTTTAAGATAATGAAAACTTCATGTTTACTGAGTAAGAAACAAGAGAAAACTTTTTTCCTCAATGAGTGCAGTTGAAATACAGTAGATAGATCAATTTTTCAAATATGAATGCTATGTTCAATATAAGGTGCAAGTTATTCAAAATTGAAGTATTTTTTTTTCTTTAATATTTTTACATGCTTTAATACTGCTTGTCGAACTCTACAAAATTATGTATGTGAAAAATGTTTTCAAACAGTTTTTTTTATTAACATAAAAGTTTCAAAAAATGACTACGTTTTTCATTACATACGCAATTTAAAATTTTGCTCTATCAATGCAGCGTGAACACTAGCATTTAATTATATGATATAAATTATATCATTAGATGTAGTTTTTCGCGTCGCATCAATTGAGCTTATTTTCTAATTGCTTATGAGATCACAAACGTGAGAAAAGTAAAATTTATTGAAAAAATTGAATGTTCTTCTTTCATATAAAACATATAACTTTGAAGTAGGTTTTTGTTATTTTTAATATATATGATTTTGTAGAACTCGATAGACTTTGTAAAACCACGTAAAAATATCAAAGAAAAAAACTAACTTTATTTTTAAATTATTCACGCTTCACGTTAAAATTATCTTTAATTAAGATTGGTGTTTGAATTAACCTTAGGTACTGGTTTTGGTGGAACTTAGATATTTTCGAAGAAAATAGCAATTGCCAGTTTTTAATCGAGGTTTTTTCGGCTCTCCTTCAAGTTCTACCATCAAGAAAAAGAGTATTAGTAATAACAGTGTTTAGATCAGTTTAGAATCTTCTGAAGCATTCTAACAATCTAAGATGTCTATTGCAGAATCTAACTAATATAAACATAGAAGACTTTGGTATGTAATGTAGCGAAAGGATCTTTTTATTGATGTTAATCAATAAAACGGCCATAGAAAAGTATGAATTAATTGTATTCTAAGTTTAGACAAAATTCAACAGTATACATCAATGTTTGTCGATAAAAAATATTATGTACTTGAAAGCTTACTGAACGATTACATCAATGTGTATAGTCAGATATGATAATAATTGGATCGAGAAAACGAAGAATCAAATGATATTTATTTCTTCCTATGACATGTATCGTATGTATTATCATTAGGAGAAAAGAAATTATGCATTGAAGATTTATCTGATAATATAAAAATGTTTTTTCAATATAACAATCTAATCAATTGATGGATTAGGAATTATTAGATGCAAACACTTTCAAAATGATAAAATTTCAGAATGTATATATCATCTATAAAAAATTGTAATAATTATGATTTATTCATTTATATTGGCACTATTTTAAATAAATTATTTTAATTCCTCTGACAATATAATATAAATTTATAACAGTCAAATTTTGTAATTTAGACACTTTGACTCCTTGTGGGACTATACCGACAAGCTTTTTTTTCTTTTTAACTATAATCAAGATAATCGACCGAAACAAGTCATAAATCAATGTTGTAATGATGATTATGTCATCTTAGATAGCATACTGTGGCACTAAACATTTCTCATATTGCTATTAATAGCATTCCTTCTAATAACATATATAGTTGTCTTGTGCTATGTATGATAAAAAAAAAAAGTCGTAGATATTGTATTCTTCATATAGAATGCACACTACAATATTAGAGATTCAATAAAGTTCGATGACATCTGTTCGAAACAACAAAGGTCAATATTTAAAGTAATAACATATAATCAGGATGTTTTCCTATGTTATTTGTCTAGGCTTGCGTAAGATTAATTTTAATTAGATTATAACATATACGGACTACAATTCTAGCAGATTAATATGTCCTTGAAATAAAATGTTTTCTTCATGGAATTATAACTCACGGTTGTTCACTCAAATTTGCATAGTAATTTGATCAAAAACAATACTACTAAAACATTTTTACTCATAGAACGTAATGTGAATATTTATGAAAAATCCTATATAATTACTAAGTACTAATCTTTTTATAATTGATACTGATTTCTTCTTACTATCATTAGCCTATAACTTACCAAGTTGTTACACAGACTCGATGAACAAATGCAGAGCATATCATTGATATAAATAAGCAAATAACAACTAAAATCAAAGTCATTTTGTCAAAAAAGAAAACAAAAAAAAAAGGAATTTTTTTTAACCTTCAGGAAAAATTCTTGCTTGATAATTCGGTCCAAAAGTATTCATTTCGAAATTACTTAAAGCCTTAACGAAACAAAGAAAACAAAAAATAAGATTCATATCAAATTTATCATGTTGAATTTCTTCTATTTTCAATACCGTTAAAAGTGACACAAATACCATTGAACCAATAAAACCACCAACAATAGTTAATGGTTGGCTTGATGAAAGTTGTGTACGAAATAATTGCATCGATGCAAATAATAATAAACTAATAAGAAGTGATATAAGAAATGATGAAGCATGTGATGCAGCTAAAACCATTAAATAATTGTAATCCTAATATTTTTTTTGTTTTAATTTTCATTCTCTTTACTCACCCATATTTTCAGTAAGTACACGTTTATTTAGATCACAGTAAGCCTTAGTCAATCTATAAAAAACAAAAAATCAGTTAGATCTCAGAACGATTTGTAAGTTCAAGTGGATATCGTCATTCAATTATTTTATAAAGATCTTTTTGAACCAATGAAATAAGTATTTTTGTTATTTAGAATTCTTCAGTATTTCTTATATGTATAGTAAAAGAATTCTTTGTCTTAGTTTTCGATAATGAATAAGATGCATCAATAATTTTCTGAGTTAAAATTTTCAATTAATCATCTTCAATATTATTTATATTTGCTCGTTTATATAAATGATGTTGCTTTGACTTAAAACATGTCTAGAATAAATGAAGAATCATTCAAAACGATATCAATTTTTATGGCGAAATAAGCAGAAAAGAAGGAGAACAGTAAATGAGTCATAGAAAAGAATATTAAATCTGTCATTAGGACAGATTTGTTCATTATTTAAATTGATAAATTTTGCACCTTGTTACAATTAAATGCTAATATCTAATTAAAATAAATGAATACGATACTATTTTTTTTGGGTAAAAAGATGAATAAACACTATTGAATTTGTTTCGTTGATTTCGTTAACCAATAGGATAATTCAACGAATCATTAATTATTTTTACTCAATTTTAAAATTAACCTGTTGTTTTAAAGAATCATGTATATTCCTAATATTGACACAGATTTGTCTTTACTTGTCTTCTTTGATTCCAATATACAAAAAAATGTAACCAATATTTCTTTTATCTCATTTAACGGTGTTTTTCAATATATCTACTGTTTTCTATCTTCTTCCGATTTTACTTCCGACTTATTTCCATCTAATAATTAAAATTTAATTCATTGTTTTTTCATGTGACAAAATACAATTGACAGATTTTAGAAACTCTATTCAAGGAAACTAACTATATTTTCTTCTTTGTCAAAAACAACTAACATAAGATTTATTTATTTGTTAAGACTTCGACTCAAGATTTTCATTTTCTTCGATCTCATAAACATACATGAAGGAGTTATGAGATCTGAATAGATAAAGACTTAAGAAGACTCTATTAAACATAAAAATTTCCTATTACTGTGTAATTTTTATTTTCTTCTGTCAAATGACATTTTGTTATAAAGTCAGTTCACATTTTAGTTTTTCGATATATAACAAGTTGGCAAAATAATATTTTCTGAATAAAGTAAATTGTTATCGTTATATTTGAAGATTCCTGGAATAACAACTACCGCTAAACTATCCTTCAATGTTATGAATCAAATAAACACATTTTAACATTGTACAATGATTCAAAAACGCTTAAATCATGTTATTATTCGTCACATTTATAAAGAAAAATTAGATTTTTCTGATTTGAACAGCATCTGCTCTGGTTTTATTTCAAAAAACCAAAATAGGAAAAATTTATTTTGGTCATGAATAGTTTTATTTCTTCTTCGTTTGTTTCTTTAGGGACCTGTCTCTGTTACCTCGTTAGTTCTGGATTTCTTTCAAAACAATAAGGTATTAGATCGTTATTACACTTGCACAGAATCAAGATCTAGTAAGAAAGCCTATAGCACTTGTCATTATAAATAAAGAAAGAAAATCACTTTTCAACCGGTTTTTCAGCCTGATTCAACTAAAAAGTTGAGCCTATCTTAGATTGAAATCGTTCTACCGTTCCTTCTTACAAATTAATGGAATATACATGAAATCCTATACTGTATTTTTCTTATCCATTGGGATATATAAGGTTTCCTCGAAGGAATATTTAATATGTAGACGGAGATGTCCAGGAGGTAACTTTGATCAATCTTAAAAAATTTTCGTTTTTCTTCTGCACCCTTCGAAAATCCAGTTAACTTTAACAAAAATTTTTTCAGTCGGTCTTCTAAATCATCAATCTCCTGTCGCAATCCTAACGATCTCCAGACACCACTATAAGTAGAATCATAGTGAATTTATCTAATATTAATATAAGAACAAGAATTTAAGATATCCTTTAAATACATATTTGACTTTATTTTCTTTTTATTAAGAAACTATCTTCATTATTTGTGTTCTAACTCTCATCTATAGTAATCTCTTCTAGTATCCTTTTGTGTTCGTGATTGTGCCAAGATCAAGAAAGAAAATTCTGTAAAATAGAAAATGTGAAAAACATAATTGTTAAACTCAATCAAACAACTAGAATGATGACAAGCCTTTTGATAGTCTTATTATTTATTTTAGTTTTTTACAAACATCTTTCCAGATACTTTACTAATCGTAATGTCTTTCTTTCTTTCTTTCTTCAGAATTAATTTGTAAAAATATGTCAAGTTCCAAAACATCAACTCCTAACTCTCAGTCTAGACGAAAACAACCTTTGGCAGGTAAAACACATGAACAAACTGCATCAACATCTGCTTCTACAGCGGCTGAATCTGAAAAACCCCATACACCATCACCGAATGATCATAAGTCATCAAAAGATCCATCACTAAAATCTGCAGAACTACAACCATCGACAAAAGGCACTGTGAGTTTTATAACTGAATATATACTCAGACAAGTTGTTCGTCGTCTAAGGGTCAAACATCACCAAATCTGCCGAAAAGATCGTCTCCACAAAGTGAAAATAGTGCATTTCAATGCTCTAATTCAGCATCAGCTACAGCCGATGAAGAAAATCCAAATACGAATGATCAAGGTCATAATGAAAAACAAAAAATAGAAGTCAAGCCATCAAAAGAAAAACCAAGTTAATAAGAAAAAGAAAAGTAAATTTGTATAAACGTTTATTTCTCATTTAGAAGTAGATATATGTCCTATTTGCTTGGATGATTGTACTGAACCAAAACAACTTAATAAATGTGGTCATGAATTTTGTTCAGCTTGTATTGATCAATATTTTCAAACAATTAAACCTCAATGTCCATGTTGTTTTACTATCTATGGTGAAATTCGAGGTAGATAAATATTTCTATTTTGTTATATTCTCTAGTATTGCTATTTCAAATGTAGGAAATCAACCAGAAAATGGTATTATGACACATCATGTACGAAAACGTCGTTTACCAGGTTTTACAAATAATTCATTTGGTACTATTGAAATAACATATTACTTTCCTGATGGTATTCAGGATGTAAGTTTTTATTTTTAAATTACATAAAATTGACATGAAAATTATGTTGATTCTTTTCTTTTTTTCAAGGATAGACATCCAAATCCAGGTAAGCGATATCACGGAACGACTCGTGTGGCTTACTTACCTGAGAATAATGAAGGTCGACGTATATTTAAACTATTACAAAAAGCTTTTGAACTTCGTCAAACTTTTACTGTGGGTCAATCTCGAACAACAGGTTATGATAATGTTGTTACATGGAATGATATTCATCACAAAACAAGTTTTTATGGTGGGATGGAGAAGTAAGTTGACATGACGTTCCAAGGATCAACTCTTGTTTTCTTTTCGAGATCAAAACCTAAAATAACGAAAAAAGAACATGTGTCAAATTACGGACCAAGTATCTTAAAGAATCTGAACCTGATTATGTCAATCTGCGAATCCGCATTGAACCCTGATTATTTTTTACACTTGAGAATCTCTCAAGTATCGAAAAACTATTTTTTGATCGCCTCCAATTAAAAGCGTTCATAGTTCGATAGAACTAAGTATGTTGATTACAAATATCATACTTTTTAAAAGTGTTCATATAACGAGAGAGATCAGACCAAGGGTCAGAAGCACTCTAAAAGCCTTCAAAATCTGTTTGTGTTCTGTAAGTTCATTAAATTCCGATTTAGATTCATCGAGCCTAGATTCATTCGATGCAGAATTACTTTCTCTTTCAGAATCTACAAGAATTTCTTAGATATTCAAATCTTTTTCTAGTGGAAAATGCCAAATAACTGGTCCAATGAAGTCATATTGTTGCAAATAGTGTGTTTCCGATCTCATGAAGTTATAGTTTGCACTTTTCTTTTCTAGTCAAATCCTGACCCTTAGTCTTTCTCAGAGATATATGGAAAAATGTACTTTGTCAGAAGACCGTTTTGGCAACAGAAAATGCAGTCATAGACTTGTCAAACATTATCTGAAGACAAAAGTAGAGACTTCTACATATTTAAATAGCTGTTTTAATGAGCTACATTTTCCCATGCATCCCTAATGGGGATTAGGAGCCGAAGTTTGACTGGAAAGAGGTCGACTCAGATTTTTTGTACTGATTTTAAATATGATATTTGTTTGAAATCAAACAGGGTTTCTTCTGCTCAAAAAGTGTTCAATATGAGTCAAAAAAAGATACTAATTCGTTCTCAAGCAAAGTAGTTAGAGCAAAAGTGCTTTACTAAATATTGAGTTTCAAGTTGAAAATGATGTCAATAGAAAGAGCACATTGAATTACATCTTCGATATAAAAATCTCGATTATACACACATAAAAACTATAATTTCATAACACTGAGCAAGTCATTACTCATATATGAAACATAATCAGGGTTCAATGCTGATTCTCAGATTGTTAGAATCAGGTTCAGGTTCTTTGAAAAACTTGATTCGTAATTTGGCATACGTCCTTCGTATTAAAAGGAATCGATAACTAATCGTTACATGTTGTACTGTTAATCTTCTTGCAAAAAAAAAGCAGATTTAACGGCGTTTTCGCTGAAAGTAACGCAAACGTTTGCTTTAACTAGCGTTTTAACAGGGTTTGATATGAAAAGTATCATTGAATTTCGTTAAATTCCTTTGAATCGTTAAAATGCGTGAGTTGACTTAAAGGAAGGATATTTCGTTCTTCATGCTAATATAAATCATTTGTTTGAACGTCTCCAAAATATCCTAAGAGTTGAATGTTTTCAATCTTAACGGAATTCATATCATTTTTCATCGCTAAATATACTACTTGTTTTTACGCGTGAAATACTTTTAATCTTCCATGTCGTATATT